AAAGTTTATATGCTGAAGCCCATGAAGCACTGTTAAAATTGATATGAGAAAAACTAGCATTACAATATTATCTAAAACTCAAATCCTGCCCAACTAACTCTGCCTACCATTGTACCTTTAACCCTAAATACAAAAATCTATTTAATAAAAAAGAAAATACTATCAAACCTTTTGGCCTTTACATGAAAAATCTCATCAGCAAAACACAAATAAATCCAACCCTAATTCTTAAAACAACCAACTCAAAACATCCACCCCTTAATAAATAAATTATTAAATAGGATTGACTATATTTATAAGAAAAAAAATCTATGATAGTCCTATGCTGGATACTGAGCCATATTGGCATAGAAGGAAATAGAAAAGCCAACAAAATGGCAAAGGAATTGCTGAACATGGCCCCCTCAAATGTCAAGGTATCACACACCGACTTCCGACCCAGCATAAACAGGACCATTAAAGAAAAATGGCATCAATTATAGAACAACTGTGTAAAGAATAAACTTCTCAACATCCAACCAATCATCAGTAAAAGACAGTCACATTACAGAAAGATAAGAGGTGGTTCTGGCCAGACTTTGTATAGTACACACATACATAATTCACCAAAATCTACTAAAAAATGAGGAAGCGCCAATATGTATCCCATGCCAGGAACTATACCATTAAACACATTCTACTAAATTGCTGTAACTTCCAAACTCAAAACAAACTTTATGAATTGGATAACTTAAAGGATCTATTTGAAAATACCAAGCCAAGTAACATCATAAATTTCATTAAAGAAATTGGGCTTTACAGGAAAATTTTAAAAAAAATATATATTTACCAAATCTGTTTTCCTACATTGTTTTGTAACCAATTTTTGAAGGAAAAATTATTACCAGTAATACATTTAACTCTCAACAAAATTCCCCTTTACAAAATATGTCAATGAAACCTGATCTACAAAATGATTCCTTACAAAGAATGCATACTATATGCATATGAACCTATCCAAAAAATTCTTGTCGGAATTAAATAACTCATTGAGGTTGATATGCCATTAAACTAAATAAACCAAACCAATCAAATGTAAGACAGAGAGGTTATAGTGGGCAAAACAATGAAGAAGAAATTGATCCAAAAGAACCAATGGTTTTAGTTTCACATCATTGTGTTGGAGTTGCAAAGATAGGTGACACTAAAAAAAATGAAGCCTGTCTTGAAGATAAATTATGAAAGATGTTAATAAAAATGTGTAACTCACTTGCATATATTTCTTAAACACTCTTATTGCAATTGTATTCTGTGAAGGTATAGAATAAGTACCTCCATATGATACCTAAGTATGAATTTTTAAAAATGGAAAAATATTTTTGAAGCTTTTTAGTTTTAATTTCAAGCCAATAGATTAAATTTAATATTTTCAATAAACAAAATACTTTGCTGTATTTCAAAACTAATTTAAATTGACTGGAAGGAGTTTTCATTTTAAAATTGCTGAAATTGCTGATTTTAACACCATTTTTAGCCACCTTTCATCAGAATGTAATTCTCTTTATTAAAACTCTTCCAAAAATAAAATATAATTTTCTGAAATTTTATTTCAGGAATATTAGCTGATTTAAAGTTTAATTAATCTGATTTGAAATAAATATACCTTTTAAGTTTAAAATATTGCAGAAATACATTTTTTTAACATGGCAGTAATTGTTTATTTAAGGTGTTGATAGATTGAATGACAGTTTATTTGATGTTTTTCTACAATGGATATATCTGTAAAAAATAACTGAGGAATATAACGAGTGCCTTTTTTATATAATTTTTAAGTACTTAGTAATCTTAAACATTTAGGAAAATATTCTCCGTAATCTAATGTTTTATTGAATTTTAAATACTTTGGCTTTAAATTCACTATAGTTATCACTCTTATTTTCTGTTAATGTCATGTATGAACATCTGTACAAAAATTGGCATGTTTATACACACAAAAAAAATTTTCAAAATTCTCTTAAAAATATTGGGGTTCAATGAATTGTATTAAATTTCCATTTATGATTAATATAGTTTTTACTTAATAACAGTATCACCTAAGTTAGGTACCTCCACGAGATCGCTAAAAAAAGAGCATAGCATGATGAAAAAGACGCCAAACTTGACGAAAACAAAATTTTATCATCTAAATGTTTGTTATTATTAAGAGGAAAGGTCAAAGTATTTTGGGGGTATTTTTTTCCATTTTTTAATCGTTCCTAGCACGTCCGAAATTTTCATTAAAAATCTAGTTTTTTTTGAGTCAGCAAAATTGACCATTTTTTCCATTTTAAAAAAACTGGAAATCTGACTTTGAAATTTTTTAAATATCAATTATCATTTTTTTCAAAACTTATTTTAAGAAAATCAGAAATTATAATGTTTATTTAAAATATTTTGAACCAAACTTAACTTAGCTTTTGTGCCAAAAAGATGTAATTTGAAAATAAAACAAAGCAGGTCATAAACTTTCGCGTCTCTTGACATGTGATGAATGATATATTGACAAATTCCATGAGGCTAATTTGTTCTACGGAAGGAGAAAAGTGAAATAATTTACATTTACGGGAACAAATTATTTACCTCGTTATTTTTAACGAAAACTTTCAGCGGTCTAATTTTTTTTTTCTTTTGTACTTAGCTTTCACCTTTACGTTTATGATGCTTTATGGGAAATATATTCTAAAGAAATTAAAATAAAACTGTTAAGAGTGACATTAAATTTCATATTTCTTAAGAAAGGTATCTAATTAATTTATAGGTACCTTTCTTATTAAATTTTATCAGAATTGTACATAAAATACTATAATTTTATGTACGTTTATTACATTTTACTGTTATTTGTATTTGCATTCATTTTATTATTAATTTTGATATTTCATTTATGGAAAAATGTCGTAACTGAGATTAATATAAAAATAAGATCATATAAATTTCATAAGATGATACTGATACTTGTAGGTACCCTTCTCAGTTGAAATTGAAAAATCAAATTAACTTCACACGTGTTTTCATAAAAAGTAAAGGCTTTAACAGCGGAGAACAATGCTTAACTCAAATAACGCAACTTAATTATATTCTGGTTGGTCTTCCGTACTTTATAATTACAGCTCGGTTATAAGCACAAAATTACATTTCTTAATTACTGGGTATCTTCTGATTAGTCAAAATGATACAATTTACAACGCGCTAAAAAAGATCTATCTCATAAGGACACTTATGAAAGCTGATGCGGACTTTTTAACTAATTTTATAATATTTTAACAACTTAAATGTAAAATCTATTATAATTAATGAAATAACAAATAATTGTATTAAAAAATTCATTTTTCATCGAAAAAATTTTTTTGCTTTCAGAAAATATTGTCCATATTCATAAAAACAACTAAAAGCAAATAAAAGCATTTGAAATTAAATAATATCTTTGTTTTATTGAGTTTTGTATGTTACAATTCAGAGCTGATTTTTCAGGTACTGCGGGTCCAATTAAAAACAAAAAAACATGATTTGCATTCCTCAAAGCCCTGTGCTTTTAATTATTGTAATCACTAAAACCGATGCGATCGAATTTCTAGCGTTTTCATAAAATTAGTTATGGGGGGGGTAATAAATATTTTAAAAAATATTTCTACCATGACTTTCATAAAAAAAAACATATTTATAATAATTTCAATCATCTGTGAATAGTTCCTGAAAGTTTCATTAACATCCGATAATTATTTCTATTTTTGCACGATTTTTCAAATTAATGTGTGTCATACCAAAAAAACGTGCTAAAAATTGTCTATGTTATTTACTAGTTCGCTGATACAAATAGAAACAAGGTTTTTTAATCAAAATTTAGAATGTTCTAAAAGAAGGAAATTTTTTTTAAAAATAATTAAAAAAAAAACTTTGGTCTTTCCTCTTAATAATAACATAAGCATTTAGACAATAAAATTTTGTTTTTGGCAAGGTTGGCGTCTTTTTCATCAAGCTATGCTCTTTTTTTAGCGATTTCGTGGAGGTACCTAACCTAAGTGTTACAAATTAATACAAACTTTTAAAAAAACTTTATAAACTAATTATTCTAAATAAAATTTTAAAAAAATGAAAACAATTCTTGTAAACATTCATTATTCATTGAAAAAAAATTTTTTTCTTAAGACAATAGTGTCCTTAATATATTTCATTTATAAAAGCAAATAAAAGCTTTTCTAATTAAATCATCTTAGTTTTATTACATTTTTTATTTTACAATTCAGAGATTTTTGGTTACTGGTGTTTCTGCTTTACAAAAAGAAATTGATGATTTAAATTTTCCAAGTTCTGCTTTTAACCAATATAAGATTTAGCAGGACACAATTTAATTTTTTGAAATTTCATAAAATTAAATAAGAGAGGAGTAACAGATGTAAAAAAAAATTTCCAAAATAATTTTTTTCATTTGTGAATAAGTCCTGAAAGTTTAATATAAATTGCAATCAGTGTGTTCTTCATCACAAAAAGATGCTAAAATTTCCTATGCTAATTTATATTCCACTCGATGATGCAAGAAAAACAAGATTTTTAAGCAAAATTTTGAATGTTCTAAAAAGGATTAAAAATATAGTTAAATAACCAAAAAATACTTTGGTCTTTCCTCTTAATGACAAAAAGATTTTGTCAATAAAACTTTGTCTTTATCAAGTTTGGAGTATTTTTTTATCATGGTATGTTTTTTTTAGTGAATTAGTGGAAGTACCTAGTATAGAATTAACATCTACTTGTCTTATGGGAGAGTGGTTAGCTCAAGTGCACCTTCTTTCAGCCATCATAGGATACTAGTGATGAGACATTTTGTGAAGATATATGGTGACAAATGAAAGAAGTGGTTTCATGCCTTTCTCAACAGTATGTGAACATAGACTCAGCAAAAATTTGATCTCAATTTGCTGATAACTTTTTGCCACTTTCCATTCTTATTATATGATGAAATCAAATGCTGAAAACTTTTTTCTTTCCAGCTGGAATGAGATTTGGAAACTAAATTCTTTGATAAGCCTCAAGTCTTTATTTTTATCTGGCAACCCAGTCAATGATGTGTTCTATAATGAACAATCCATGGAGAAAAGCAACTCTGATAGTCCCATGAAAACATCATCTTTCTTTGAGACTCCCATTAAGTCAACCAACTTCTCTGGCGACTTTTCTCAAATCAAATCACGAGGCAAGGCTCTGAATGCTCGTCGTAAGCTTGTCTTGAGTGATACATTATCATGTGACTCTGACCTAGAAATGCTGAATGATATTGCAGAGCAGTGCTGCTCACCTTCCAAAATCAAATGTGACTGTGATAGCCCCTTTAATAAAACCTGGCCCCAGTCCAGCCCTAATTCCAGTCCCCAAAGAAAATTGAGTACAGAGATGAAAAGGCAACCAGATTCCAGGCCCATTGATATCAATTACAAGAATTCTAGTTATAGCAATATTAGCCGCGGTTCATCCCAACCAGAAAATGATATTGAAATAATGGACGATTCCAGTTGTGACAGCCCTCGATTTGATGATTCTGGTTGTGGCAGCAGTCTCCGATCTAATTTTGTTAGCCAAGATGATGATGATGATGATGATGATGCCAGATGTGCCTTTGAATTTAAACCTTTTCAAAGACTCCAAACACTGTGCCTTAGTAAAACAAAGATAAACAGTTGGGAGAATCTTTATCAACTGACAAAATTCCCAGGATTACATTCTGTTCGATTAATGGTAAGTTTTTTTTTTTCTTTTTTCTTTTTTCTTTTTCTTTTCTTTTTTAGTCATCATTTATTTTGGGAGATTTTTCTTCTTTGAACAAAGTTAAGAGAATATTTTTGTGTTTACTAGACAAATCTTTGTCAAAGTAGCCATTAATAAATTTACATTACTGCAAATTGTCATCATCTTGCAGTATCCGATAGTAGTGCATAAATTATTGTTTCCTTGTTTATTTATTTTCTTTGGATTAAGTAACAAAAGTTTGTTGACCTTCATATATTAACAGAATTAATAAATGAGAGTTGATTGATAAGTAAGGTCTCTTACTGCATGAATGGAGTTGGGAACATTGTTTGAATCGTACTATCTAAAGTCCTATTCAAACATGCTTAGTGTCAGTTTACTATGTGATAGCACTGAGTAACAGAATTTATTAGTCATGAGTACTGTCTCAGTTGGATATAAAGCAGAGATCTGTGATAGAAATTTTGGCACTATAAGTTTTTGCATCAAAAGAAATTCGCAGACATGTATGAAAACAATAAAACCTTGTTAATTATAAAACAACACATCTGCAAAATAATGCATGAAGAAAATAGTTGTTTTTTGTGTATCACAACACAAACCACGTTGCCGTCAATAGCACAAACAATGAGAAGCTTAAAATTCACTATTGTTTCCCACCTTCCATACAATCCAAATTTGGCACCACCAGGCTTCTGGATGTCCCTGAAATTGAAGAGACTATGAAAGGTCAGCCTTTTTCCTCTGATCCTGAAGTTACTGAGCACAATTGGCTCAAAGTAAACCAGAAACTTTCTACTTGAACTGAATGAAAAAGTGGATAGAACATTTGGAAAAATCTGTGGCTCAAAATGGTGGCTATATTGAAAAATAAACTTGTAATTTTGAAGAGAAATAAACTTTAATTCCTTTTGATACCAGTTTGATACTATTTGATCTTAAACTTGTTTTATAAGATTGGATGCCTTATTTATCAATCAACTCTTTTAGTTTATGAGGTCTGTCCAAAATGATTCCACTATTTGATATTAATGAAAAAATAGGCTACCTAGGACAATGACATCTTTGTTCCCTTCACTCCTCTTGAGACCTTATACACATAAAATGCATTCTTATTCAATGAAATTTTTTTTTCTTTTGTAGGATATTCCTTTCTTGAATGATCTTCCCCCAGAAGAACGAAGAAAATTGTATGCAGCCAGGTATAAATTAATCACTTTTTTAACTTATATATCTATATTTGTTCGGACTGTTGTCCTCATCTTTGTTGCCATATTCACAGCGTTTCAGATGTTGTACGCTCCGGCCTTCTTTGGGTAATTGGAATTTCGAACTGAACCCTTTATTTCAGCTACTGGGGTAGATTGTTCTAGTTCCGCATGCCATGCCTTTCTGGATGTCTCAGTTATTTCCCTTTAACTCAACTCTACAATTTTTTGCTCACCACTGCAGTAGCCAGGTATTGAACTCACAACTCTTTGGGTCAAGTCACTGTGGATCAAAGAAGATTGAGACAGGCAAGATCTAGCAAATCTGATTGCATCAGGCTGTTGAACGCTTGTTCTCTCTGGGACCACCTTGGTTATGCCAGTCTGACTGGCACTGCCCTTTTCTGTTGGTTTGGCTGTTGAGATCATTTATATCTTTGCCTATTCTGCCGATTTGGGGGTTGGTCATGTGCAGTCTGGTCCTTCCTACTTGACCTTACCACCATAGGTAGCTCTACAGGAGTTGGAACTCCAGATAACTTCACTCTTGAGATCACTGGGACACAGCAGGATAAGGAATGACCATATATATTTTCTGCTGGATGTCGGAGTGAACAGTTCGTTATCAAATGTACCACTTTGACTTATTATTACTTTGACAATAAAAGAAATAAATCAAAAAGAAAAGAATAAAAGTATAAAATTAAATATGACAACATTTTCTATTATTGTTGTTGCTAAAATTAAATATTTGAGAGATAAATAAAGGAAGAAATTCACTACTGAACCAATAGTTAAAAAAAATGTATAACAAAGGTATTGCTAATTAATTTTTGACTATAATTTATTTCATTTTTACTTTCTGTTTCTATTTATTGCAACTCAAAGACTGTCATTTTGCAAGCAGGCAAATCAGAAAGAATAAGATACCAACAAGATTGGAGTAAAAAAAATGAATAAGAATAAATGCTGTATCTAATGAAATTTGAACATAATATCTAATACTATTAGGCATTGTTTACTTTAATAATATCAGAAAAGCCTTTTGGAAATGTAATATAAAGTTTGTTGAAACTATATTTCCAATTACATGTTGTCAAAATGACAACTTATAAGGCATCAAAAGATGCACTAAGAAAGGAAACTGAAAGAACTCTTAGACAAGGTAGTAATGGAAAAGAAGAAGAAAGGACTATCAACTGTAAGAAGACAGACTGCATGGTCATCAGCAAAAGAAACATCATAAAGTGTGAACTAAATATTGGGGATTTCAAAATCAAGCTGCCACAAAGATTTAACAATCCGGTTAGTGTAGTAACAGATGCTGAAAATGACACAGAAATCCTAATGTGTATAGGAATATTGAACAGTGTCTTCAAGAAAGTAAGGAAATTATTGTTAGCAAGAAAAATGTGGGGGTGCTGAACTGCTTTGTAATATTTAATTTCCTTTATGGCAAATGAAGAAGAAATTTAAAGCAACTGAGGTGATTCTAATGACAAATGCTAATACCATGGACAGATGATGTCAATAATGAGGAAGTTTTAAAAAATATATAATGAGGAGAGAGAGTGTAGAGAATTTAACACAAACAGTGCATACTGAAAGCAAGAGGAGCAAGGAAAAACAGCAAGTAATGTACTTGAGTTTGTGTACATGAATGGATGGCAGAACAAATACAAAGGATGATAAAAACTCAGAAATTACTTAAAGTAACAAAAGATAAGAATTTATGGAGAGCTATGATTGCCCATGTCCTGAAAATACTTAGCGCATAAAAGAAGATAGGGCATCACCCATTTATTTTAATGTGCTTTTCTGATCAAATGATGACAGCTCTACATTTAGACTTAGTGAGGTTCTAATAAGCTATATAAACATTAGTGGCCTCTTGTTAAAAAAAAATAAAGGTTTACGGTCACATCATATTGAAACACTGCTTCTTGTAAAATCACCAAAGTTAAGCAATATCAAGCCTGGTCAGTACCTAGATGGGTGATTGCTTGGGAATACCAGGAGCTGTAAGCTTGAATGTGCAGGTGGTGTAATGGCTAATGACTTGGAATTGTTAATCAGAGGGCCAAGTTCCCATTCCAGTTGGATTTGTTATATTCAATTACATGCAAACACCCTTGGGAAAGGTATGAATCCACTTGTTCTCCCAACAGCTATGGCTTAATTAGTTAAAAACATGTATCACTAAACCATTATTATCTCTGAAAAGAATTCTTACAATCTAAAAATATTTTCTGCCTTTAAATAACTTGCAAAGGGTTGATAAGCTGTAGAAAATGAAACCACCAACCAAAATTGAAAAAAAAAATACAAGATCTGACCAAACTTAAAAATATAATTTTTTTTTTAAGGTCCTCAGCTGCAGTTTTTTTACCTTCTGCCTAAATCCAGAATTGGTTGATGGCATAACTTTCATAATTGCCAACATTTACATTTCACTGAAGTTTATGATGATTTTTTTTAGTCACTGTCTTTTCTGTTTTTTTTTTTTTATATTAAATCCAAATTAAGGCTTTAATATTAGACTCACAACTTAAAAGAATGTATTTCAAATTTTATCTATTCATTAAGGTTAATCATGATATCCATAAATGAATATTTGCTGTTTCTCTTTGGCTATGAATTCTCTCCATTGGTCTACATCATTAGTTCTTAACTGTTTTTTTTGTTTTTTTACTCGTTAACCCCTTTTCACCATATTTCATAATGTCATTCACTCTTTCCAAAATTCTCCCACTCAAGACATATTGTAGTTTATAGAAAGATGAATATTCTATTAGTTTGAATATGCCATTCTGTTGTTCCCCTACTCCACTGAAACCCTAAAATTACCTCTGATTTGAATGAATTTCAACTTTAATTATGTGAACCAATTAAACTGTTGATATTTTGGGACCCTTTTTTTAACTGGTTTTAATTTGCTTTCAGTCTGTCAAATGTTTCTTGCTTAAATGGAAGTGAAGTGACTCTTAATGAAAGGGAAAAAGCTGAACGTCATTTTCTGCGATACTACAGCGAAAGGCCAGATAAGCCTGAATGGTACACTGACTTAGAATCTAAACATGGTGAGTACAGAAATTTCTGTTATCTTAATGAGTAAATTAATTGCTGCATAAAAATAATATATGCACAAATATAGAATGAATAAAAGATTTGGCTTGTGGTTTTATTGAATAATTATATTGCTTGAAAATCTGCTAAAATCATTCAAGGTCCATGGCATAAATTGCATGCACAGAAACATAGATTTAATAATTTTTATAATAACAATCCGATTTCTGTTTGTAGGTAGATTTATTTGTCACTATAAAACAGCACACTAACAAAATTTTTGTTTGAACAGTGCTGTTAAAATACTCTAAATTGAAGAAAAAATATTTCCAGTTCAATTTGAAATTTAATAGTGTTAGCATTCACCAATAATCATGGTTTGATTTTTGCATGTTTGTGCATTTGCTTCAAAGGCTGGAAAGAAAATCCTATCACCATTGAAGGAAGAAAAGATATGAGAAGATTACTAGTTGCTGCATAAAATATGAAAATGTTTTTGGCAATCTTTCAAATAAGAGCAGTGTCAAGGTGAAAAACGTCTTTTTGACAGTTTTTTTTTCAGACAGTTAAAGATTACCATGTTTTTATTACATATTTTTGTATAGAAATAATTTTCTTTTGCAAAATAAACAACATTATTTTAATCTTTTCATCCTTCTATCATGAACATTTTAATTTTTCAGTACATATTTTCAAAAATCATTTAATACTAGACTCTTGCTGATTAGGAATTAGTAGAAATGCAATTAAAGCTAACTTTATATTTAAAATGTAGTTGGGGTTAGGCTAATTACAATGTAGTCTCCCCTTAATTATTTTCAAATAATTATCAATTATATAAATACAAAATGACCTGACATTGAGTTCAAAGGGCTACCTTTAAGCAAGTTTATATAATAACCCAAAAAAAAACCGGTAGCTCTTAAAACATTATGCTGAAATAAACAAACTTTCAAAATTTTATGTAAAAACAAAAGATCTCTACAAATGACATTTTTAAATTCCCATGTTTTTTTACTTATGATGTTATCAAGATCGTTCCTCTCCTTCCCTTTTCAGGTGCTCTCAAACCTTTAGTTGATATTGATCTTGGTGCTCGTTATCACACCTGGGCAAAAATAATCTTTATCTACAATGGCCTGGAAATTTTCACTGAAAAAGTTCATGTCGTACAACCAGTTGGAAAGTTACGTAAACATCTTGCAAAGTGCCTTGCTTTACCCATCAAGTAAGTTTCTTTGATGCTTTGCTGAATTTTTTTTTTAAATTAAGACTCTAAATTTTTAGTTCATACATCTTTTTTTCTTTTTTTTAAATTGCATTTCCATTAATATAAAAATGTACATTCAGGAGCCACTGTTCGAAAATTGAAAAAAAAAATGAACTTTAATATAAGTTCTTTCCCAGATTGGACAAAAAATATAATTTTATAATGTTACTTTTATTAAAACATACATTGTTTTGCTTTGGCTTTCATTGGATAGGAATACAACTAACTTCAAACTGAAAATAATCCTCAATTAAATCAGTTGTATCGATAAAAACTTAGAATAGTCTATGTTCACAGTCTGAAGTTGACTGCACCAATTGAATCAATGTTTTCTGATGCACAGCCAAGTGATTCTCCTGATTCCAAAACATTTGTATATTTTTCAACCAAGAGAATTATCTTCTGCTAATAATCTCTCAATATGATTATTTCATTAAATGAAACTGAAAAGCAAGCTAAAAAAAAAGTCAAAAACAATAAGGTAATGATTTGCAATACAAACAGCTATAGCACAACTGTTTCAATATGTGCCTCTTAACCTATATTTGACTTTGAATCAATACAAACTCTGTCCGGAAAGTATTAAGCTGTTTTAAAGAACTAGTTGTGCAGCCTTGATGTAATTTGGCAATCAATCATGTGACCAATGCTGTACATTGTCTGTAGCATGATTGGTGCTACTATCTTAGATTGTTTGTTTTTTGGGGGGTTTTTTTTTTTTTTTGCTTGAAATATGATATCTATAAAGAATATTTTGAATTTGAATAATTATTCATAAAAAATTGGAAGCTATTGTGCTGTATTTAAATTTATGTCGAGTCTTTCTGTAAGTTCCTGAAAAATTCTTCCAAAATTGCATCCAGTGGAAAATTCTGAACCAACTAAAACAGTAAAAAATATATTTTGGACTAATGAAGAAAAAAAAAGATATCCTTTTAGCACTTCAGTTAATATACAAGGGTTGCTCTGAACATAACATCATATTTTATTGGCCCACAACATCAAAGGTGGATGTTGGTGGCATAGCAGTTGAGGTTAAACCTTCCCAACAATAACCCATATTTTTTTTTTTTTTGCCTTGTCAGCAGATGATCAGCAGTCTAGCAAAATGGCGTCAGACATGAAAGTCTGTATAAAACAGAGATATATCCTTGAATTCCTCAATGCAAAAGAAGAAATATTCCACTAATGAAATCCATGCTTACTGAACATTCATGGAGACTGAATGTAAGCATTTAAGTGGCTAACACATTTCAGCAGTGGCAAGTTATGTTTCCAGGTGACTTGAAAAACTATTAAGCTACAAAATGAAGAATACCTTGAAAATGCATGACCAATAGCTTTGATTATATGAGAAATTGTTTTGTAGTTGAAATCAGATTATCATACTCTATATATCTATCAGTTTCCATGGCAATAAATAGGAGACATTATTTTTGGAGTATGCCATGTGTTTAAAAGAAAAAAAAAAGGTTCAACCATTTTGAGTATCTTAGGAAACAACCACACAGCCTTGATCAAACTTGGCAACCTATTATAGGGACATATGTGAGCAGATACTCTCCTGTGAATCAGTGTGTGAGCTTGTGTATGATGTGGCTATTGAATTTACAATAACTGAGTGAGTAGGATCAATGAATCAGGCTTGTTCATGGAAACTATTCAAATGATAAGTCTTATGAGGATAGTTCAGTGAGTGAATTGCAGGTAAAATTTTGGTACTAAGACTTCAGACTTGGCTAGGAATGAAAAGAAAGCAAGCCATGTTCTGAAAAGCTTCCAGCTTGCAAAACAATTGGAATTTTTGAATGCCTATGGACTGCAATAAAAAAAAAAAAAATTGGCGATTGAATGTAAGAAATAGAATATCTGGAAATTTCACACAATATCTGGATAGTCTCCAGTTATTTTGAATATCTTAACTGCCATTCTTTATATTTTCTGCAGGGTTTTTTTTTTTTGGCAATAACATTGCATACCCTAGACCTCCCTAGATTCGGTTCCCTGTAATTTCTGGCTTTTCTCAAAGCTAAAAAAATTTTTTTTTTCTTTTAGTTTTTTAAAATAAAAAAATTTCAGACTATGGACAAGATTAATGAGATTATGATAGTCTACAAAATCCTCTTGTAGGATCACTGTTTTGAAAAGCAGAAGAGAAACTGGAATAAGTGTGAGTGTACTTTGAAGAGGACTCAGGTGTCATTGCTTTAAGTAACCTATATGTTCATTATCTCATAAACAAGATAGCCAATTTGAAAACCCAACAATTAAAAGGTTACAGTCAAATCACTTGTTTTGTCCTTTAGCACTAAAAGTTCATTTTTAATGCTATGTCCCTAAAATAGGAAATATACAATCATGACTCTTCACATTTCTTTCTAACTGAATTACCATGAATATCATTTGGAAAGGCAATGGAAGGATTTCTCATTACCTTCTCCAGAGTTTGGAATTCAGTATTGCCTTTTTCCCTAGACTGGAGGCTAATCAAGGTTGTAAAAATTTTGAATTTTGTGAAATATAGCAGTTTGTGAAAAATATGAAGTTTTATCCAAAAAGAGAAAGAAATTCAGAACTATATGTTCAATGTATAAAGTCGAAAGATTTATTTTTCCTTAAAAATTATATATATATATATATATATATATATATATATATACACACACACACACACGTTATTTTAGGATATTACATCAAAAATATGTAAAAAATGCTACACAAATAAAATCATTGGAATTGTACTCTATTTGTTCTCATCTAACCTATATATATATATATATATATATAAAGAGAAAAAAGATGTAGAGAGAGAACAGCTCTTTCAAATTACAAAAAGAACTCACCATTAATTTGGGATTGGTGAAATATTATTTTTTAAATTGAGTAAAGTTTGCAGAAACCTGTGTGTAAGTTAGTTGGTAACAATGATTAGATGAACTGTCTTAGAAGTTTTCCAGAAATATCTTGTGAAATAGAAAATAAAACCTGCTGCTAATGTTGAAACTGTGCTTCCTCTGAATAACCCTAGAGAAATTGTCAAAAATATTGAACTTTGAAGAACATGATGAAAATTGTGGTCATCTTCATGACTTTGTGAAAAGGCACTTTTAATATCTGCCATAGTGTTGACAAACCATCAAATAACAAAGCTACTTTGTAAGATGGTTGACCTCTTGTCACACCCAAGCAATGTCTGGTTGATTTTCCATTCCCCACTGCTACTACTAGCCTTTAGTTTCTTATATTTAAGGGAAATGGCTAAGCTCCAGAAGGTATTGGGGAAAGGGGATCACATGCAGGGTTTGTCAATCCAATCAGATTGAGTTTTACAAAACTGATATTTTTTTTTTTTTTAAAAGATTGTTTCATAGAAGTCAGAATTAGACAATGATTCATTTGGACTGATTTCCTAATCTTGATCCAGACTAACTTTTTTAACCATTATCCCAGAACTGTCCAGAAAAACAAATTTGTTTGTGTCCCCATCAAAAAATTTACAGTCACAAAATAGTTCTTTTTTTTTTTAACTTTATCATTTATATTTTTAACAGCATAATAAAAACACCATTAAAATGTTTTAGAAATATATTTAAAAAAAAGCTAAATATTAAAGTTTAAAAAATGAATGAATACAAAAATAAATTAGTTAAATTTTCCTGTCATTTAAAAAAAAATGCCATCTTTATTTTACCTTTCATGCCCAGAGTAAGAAGTATAAATAAGAATATCAACTAGTCACAATCAAAAAGAGTGTTTCATATTTACAGATAAATAATACAAATATCTAAATTTAAGGCCTTTATTTTTCATTCAGTTTCATTTGCCAATTTAAAAAGTTAAATGTGTGTTTGTGTGTATGAGCAAGAGTGCTCCATTTATTAAAAGCCTGCCACTATTGGGGAGAAATGAGAATTTATTATAAGAAATCAGTTGCTTTTAGAATAAATATATTAAAATTTTCATTATCATTATTTTATATATATATATATATTATATATAAATATAAATAGTCCCTTATCATTGTGAAAAACCTAACCAGTCATCCCAAACTAATGTTCCATGTTAATCTGCTATATCATTTTTCCAGCCTATGTAGTCTTGGGTAATAGGAAGGAATACATCAAATATGATAAGTAACAAAATAACTAGTTCAAATGAATCAGTGTATAAAATAAAGAGATTTTTGTGACAAGCCTTAAAATGTGAAGTTGATAAAATTAAATTATATCATGGCTTTAAAATTAACTAGAGATTTATATTCTGTTTATAGATTTGAAGTATTGGTCTCTACTTTTAGGTCCTCTGAGAAAATGCTAGGTCGTCCTCATCTGCTGTGCATTTTCTAACTCTAAGACCTTGTTATTTCTTTCTCTTTTCCAGTGGTTTTAGAATGTTCCACTACCCTTGTAGTCCTGAACATGGCAACATAGAAAAAGCTGAACTGCAAGAATTGCGCCTGGACTCACTGCCAATGAGTCGATTTGATTTACTTGATGGTGATGAGATCCACCTTGATGACTGTTCTCTTCTTTCTATTAGTGTTTGAAGTGGATCATATCTTCCATTATTTCTATTTTTTTTTTTTTTTTTTTTCTTTTTAAACCAAAAATATTACAAGTAGAAGATTTTATAACCGCTGACATCTTTTTCACTGCTTGTTAAGTTGATCTCTGTTATTTTTCTTCTTCTGTATTGTTGCTCTTTTTTCTTTTTTTTCTTTATTTTTTTATTAAAGTTATCAAATATTTGAATAATTTGTGCATGGAAAGAAAAAAAATGTGCTCGTGTGTCTAAATATAATGAACTTTAAAGATGAGGAAAAAGAATTTTTGTTACACTGTGTTCATTTATGAATCCATCCAAGTAACAAAAGCACCAAATGTTGTTCCATTTTCCCTTGGATTTTCTTGTCTTTTGCTTTCCTGTTGCTTATAAATCCTAAAAATACTTGAAGATTAAAGTTCCTTCCCTTTGTCAAGAATGCTGTTTTATCTTTCACCTGACATTTTTCTTGGTGCTATATTATTCAAACATTAAAACTTGTTATGATTTTTATTAAATAAATAAAAAAAAAAAAAAAGATTGCAAAACAGTGTATAACAAAAATTAAAATTCTACTATGCTTCTCCCCCTTGATCCTATCAACAATAAGGTTATATGCATTAGTTCTATTCAACACTGCAATTTCAATTTAGCTTTTATCAAATCTTAAGTAAACTTCCCTCATATAAATTTTATCATTTCATTAGATTATAATACTGCTAAGCATTAATGATCATTTTTTTTTTATTTATATTATAGAATTCAAATTTAACATTTGTTTTTATTGAAAAAGATGCCTTAATTCTTAAAAGCATCTTCCATTTGTTCATATTAGTTTCTAACAACCAAATTCCTTTAAAAAAATGTTATTTTGGGGAGTAAAAAAAAAATAAAAACATTTTTTTCTTTAAATTATATTTCATTTAAAAAAAAACAAAAAAAAACGTTAACTTTCTTTAAATAATATTTTGTAATCAACATTTTTGTTATATTTTTTATCCATACTTGCATTTTGAATGTTTTTTTTTGTTTTTTTTCAGTTATTCTTTTTTATATTTACTTTTTATGCCAAATTTTTTGTTTAAAACAAATGAAAGCAGATGAACTACTTAAGTTCCATAACCTGAAAAGTACATTAATGACTACAAATTTTAGATTTCTATTTTATGCATTTTCCATTTGTGTAATACTCAAAACCTAAACAAACTAGTCTTTTATTAAAATTTAGAAAATGTTAGACTTTTTCAATATGCAATGGTTTTCTTTTTTCAAAATTGAATGTCTTTTTGTTATAACCTTGAGCAATTTGGCAACAAATTATTTTTTTGTTAATTGAAGTGAATAAATATGCTGTTCACCATCAAGAAAACAAAAGTTACTGCTGATTTATAAATGCAATAATTGAACAAGATAAATCAGCTATTGTAAATACAAGTGTGTGATTGCATATTTATCATATTCAACAACAATAATCTATTAAAAGTGCCTACTGAAAATATTCAACAAGACCAACATTGCATCATTTTATATCAGCTTAGTAAACAGTCTTCATTTTTTTCTATTTTTTTTTCCTAAAATAGTTTTTATTTTTTATTTTTTTAAATAATCTATACAGCATCAACATATTTTCTTTGTGATCAGTTACTGAAAATATTTTGTTAAATATTTTAATGGATAAATTTTAAGATAATTTATTTGCTCATTATTTAACTTTTTTTAATTATTTAATTACTATTAATTTTCAATCAGAGAAGGGGGTATAATTTATCTGGTAATTAGATTACAGTAATTAGAAACTGTCATCTTAACTTCAACTATTCATGCCTTCTGTCAGTTGGAGACTACATTTCCTTACTAAATGAAAACAAAATGTTTTTAATACAAATGATTGTAAATATGCTTTCCCTAACATGACAGGCTATTTCTCCATCCCTGTTATCATACCATTCTGTGAAGCCAATAAAATAAGCAATAATAACAAACTTCTCATTCAAATTCAAATTGTCTTTTTAAAAAAAAAAAAAAGAAAAAAAAAGGTCCTTAAGCAAATCTTGTGTTTAATGAAAGTGAAACCTGAAAATTTTATTCAAAACATTTCTCACTAACATGCTGATGTTTATAGTTTTGGGTTTTTGTTATTCCACTATTCAACTTGAATGCTATTATTTTTCTGTGAATTGAATTGACTGCAGGAATTTCTTTTGTTGATTTGTAATTTTTGAATCTCAATTATTTTTTCTTTTTTAAAGTATTTTTAATGTTTGTTAGAAGGTTTTTGTTTTTGAAAGATATAAAAATAGTTTAATTCTGTAAGTGAACTTAATTCCTGTGAAAAAACAAAACAAACTTTCATACTGTAATTAAGAGGCTTGTGTTTTTGTGTAGTTGAAATTGATATCTATGAAAATATAATATTAATTCAATCCAAGAAATTATTTCTAATTAAAGATGAATCAGATTTGCCCCTTTTATGACAACAGTTAAAATATTTTCCTACGAAAAAATATTTGTTAAGCCTTTCTAGCCAATTCATAAGTAAAATGCCAAAGAATTTTAAGATATCCTGTCTGTTGACAATATAAAACATTTCCTTTACATAAAACTAAACAGCCAACTATACGTTATCATAATGTCAGGAGTCTTAATGTGTTTTTTTATATACTCAGTCATATTTTAATTAAGATTTTTTTTTTTTGTCATATATTTAAGGTTAATTGAACATTCTCATAAACATTACCTTTAGTTTTTTGTATTTATCTTAAAAATACTAAAAGTGCATTTCCATATATTAGTTCCATCAATTGAACTATCTTAATTCATTATCTATTTTAAAACCTTTTAGATAAAACATTTTTCACTTTGATCTTAATTTTTATTTCCCTTTTAAAAAAATTGAGTTCTCATCATTGTTTATATAATTTTGAAGCCATATTTTTCACCCATAAAAATTTTTCACAAAGCCAAATTTGCAATATTTAAATCACTAATATGTTTCTTTATATGATATGGTGTTACCTGATCAATGACAAATTCTTTTCAAAACTAAACATTTGTTTAGTATGTCCATGTGTTTATCCTTTTTTAAGTTTAAAAATTATTTATTTATGGTGGAAGAGATTTTGTGGTCCAAAATAGTTATTATTATAGCTTCCTAGTTAGTCTACAATGTGACTATAGAAGCATTTCTGTTATATCTCACCAGCCAAAATTATTTCATTACAATCTACAAACAAGAAATCTTCATTATCAATTTCTTACCTTTTGTTTATACAAATGTTTGTTTATATTTTTTTTGTCTGTTTTATGTTAGGAAAATATCCCTGACATATTTGTTAGTCACCAAATTGTTATATTATTAAGATATTGTTTGTTTAAATGAGGGATTGCTGTAAATTTCTCAGCCTGACAAAGAAACCCTTTAAAAAAGGGTATTTAGTCAGATTTCAGGAAGTGGGGTCAAGCCAAGGATTTTTTTAGTACACCCTCATATTTCAGACTACATAAAATATAACTAGATCAAGTTTTGTACCTTTAAAAAATATAAAACATTTTTGTTCCTAGTGGAACAAACTAGTATACAACAATGCCATACATCAAATTTATGTGACCATAAAAAGAAAAACCAAATTTTGTAATGAAAATAAATTTCTTAAGAATCAAATTAAATGGGAGATTTGAACAAAAATTTGAAATAAGAAAACTTTGTATTTATACTGCTGAAAACTAAAATATCTTATGCATAAATGTTGACATTTCTAGATATTTTTTCTCTTTTCCTTCTATCTTCAAGTGATAAACATGACATTCCATTAAGAAAGAGCCAAATATTGGAGGTCTGTGGTGCCAATGATGTTCCATTTAGATTTGAATTCAAAAATATTTATACTTCTATATGTAGGAAGTATATTTGGAAAAATATTTTAATAACTTCTGTTTAATCTTGAGGCTGTTTAAGTTGGTTTAAAAAAAAAATTACCATATAGAATAAAATTAACAGCAAAAGTTAATGTTCATTACAAAAATTGTCAGTTTTTTTTCTTTTAAACTGGACAAGCCTTACTGCTGCTTTTTGATATTGAAACCAGTGTAACAAGTCCATAAAAGATTTAATCTTTATTAAAACAATCTTGTTATTATTCTGTGTTTTGTTTCATTAAAGAAAAAGAAACAAAAGATACTATGTTTCAAGATGGTTTGGTAGTTTACTGTGCTACTATTTCAAGAAACAGAAACAAAATTTGAAATGTTTTATATTATTTTATTAAAATAAATTGCACCGATCATTTTTTTTTTTTTTATAAAAAAATTCAAGAACTGTCCTTTTATTTATTTGCAAGATCTCAATAATCACTGTAATGTACACATTCTAAAATAAAACTGCATTTCCCCCAATTGCTTTGAACATATTACAATGTTGAATTTCTTTCATTTAGTAAGGGCTAGCTATAGTTAAAGAATCATCTTGTTCATTTCTTAAAGGATATATAAACTTAGATAGGCTCGCCATACATCACAGCTTGAGGGATCTGTTCCAGTGGTACAAAAGAAATGTAAACAGTGTCAGCCCTGAAGTTTAAGGGGTGTTGGGTTATGAAAGTACTTTATTAAACAAGAGCCTAAAGCTATGATGAAAATTGTCTAAATTTGAAAATTATGGTAAAACTTTAATTAATTAAGGCTATGAAGTCTCACTCACCTGAATCTCCAGTCCAATGCTCTGATACTTGGCTATTTCCAATGTACAATTCTAAATACATAAACTTGTCAATATAATTGAACATGGGGCTTGTATTTTCTTAATATTTATAATATTACTATTAATTTTATATTCGATTAGGATTAGGATAACTTGGTTATATTTTTACTGAAGCTAGCCCTGTCCTTAAAATATTAAAAGTACTCTAAATAGCATTTTAAATACAGTATTACAGGTTTATTCCCCACTCTCACATTGTAAAAATTGTTTTAGAATTTTTTTTTTTTTTTTTAAATAGGATATACATATTTTTATCATTTGGTTATTGTTTTGTTTTGGAGTTTATAAGTAAAAATTACCTTGTGTGTTTGAAATATTTCTATGAATTATTTTTTCCCTTTACCCCTACTCTGCTACAGCTTAAAATATTTTCCTTCAAAATATTTGCTTTGTATGTATGAGTATTGCTTGGATCTGTCTCTCAGCACAAGTTTCATGATTAATAAAAAACAATTTTCTTTTTAACATCAAAAGGATAAGAAAATTTTTGTAGTAGATAATAAATTAATGTTTATTTTAAGCAATTTTGTTTGTTTGTTTTTTAAATTTCTGAATTTAAAAAAAATAATTTAATAAGTATATTTCCTACTATCACTGGTACATTTAGAAAAGGGATTGAGAATTCATTTCCTCGGAAGAGTGCTGTATGTGATAAAATGAAATAATGTTTTATGGTTAGGCTCTGACATAAACTAGAGAGATAATGGCTAAAATGTGATATAAATAATGAAGATGTTAGCAGGAAAAAATGAAACCCAAAGTTAAATTAACCAGAAAATAATTTGGAAAAAAAGACATTTGACTTAATTTTGGGGGTTTATGCCCCTTGCTCTTTTTTCATCAATGGAAAATATACTTTTTTATTTTTAATTAAGAATTTCAAAAACCTTTAATTTTAACCGTACTTTTAAATCCAATATTGGTACAAAAAAGAATCCGATAGATACAAAGGAATTTTGGAGAGTAACATCTTATTTATTTCACTCCTTGGGATAACAAACCAAAAATGTTGTCATTGTGAGAGTAAAATACATTTTTCCAGTAATTGGATGAGGTTTCTTCCAAAGCATCTATAGATGGCTGGAAATTAAATTGTAATCTGTGTCATCATTAAATTTGGAATGTTATTCATGTAAAAACCTTTAGTAAACTGTCATTAAATATTATGGCGTTCAGTGTTCTCATTGTTAGAGAGTTTTTGTTTACAAAAGAAAAAAAAAGATCACTTTAGAAAAATACTTACTGAAAATTATGTACATTAAAAATTTAGAAATGCAGAAACTGAATCAAGTAATCAGTTGTAAAAGTGAGGAAAATTAAGTTGTCTTTCTGCATCCTTGTTGTTTTAGGCGATGTTTAAATGTGACATCTGCTTTATTTCTGATCCCATACCTAAAGATGAAGTAGCAAAAAATTATATGTAAGACCGAGAAATCAGGTTTGGTATAAATCTAAAGTTCAAAAGTGAATATAGAAAAAGTGAATCTGTTAAACACCCAAAACAAGGGCAATGAACAAGTTTAAATCCAGTTTTACAAATCCAAAAGGCAGGAAAGACAAGTGGTTCAGAAATCTCAAGTCCAACAACAAAAGTCCAAGAGTCAAATAGGGTAAAAAAAATCCAACTCACAGATTATAACGTAGCAAACTCACTCTCACTCACAGAAAAGAAATACTCTCTTCAAGAAAAGCAATGGCTTTTATTGAAGAGGTAAATTTTTTGATTGGTCACATTAGATAAAAAAAAAATTGAGGCAGTAATTATCTAGGATTTATTATTGGCAAACTGCACAGGATACAAACTCCTTTTGAGGGCAGGTGATTTCCAGTTTGCCACAGAAAGTTTTTGGACAATATACACATGAGAATAGATAGTGATATAGATAGTATATCAATATTATGCCAGCCATAGTTCAATATTATTGAGTGTCTGCCAATTTGTGAAAGAGAAAGTCCCTCAGTAAACAATTAAATTTAATATGAATTAGAACATTTTTCCAAATTGAAAATGTATACAAATGGCTAGAGACCAAAAAAGACAAAAAAACTGATGAATATGTCAGCTATTTTCAAGTATTATAAATTTGTCTTCACTTTATAAAGATTTTTTTCACTTAAAATGAAGAGAATTGCAGATAACTATTCAATCAGGGAAGAAGACTAGTCAAAACAAAAATTCTAGTAGCAGACACACATGCTGCCCTTTCAGTGATGTGACTGTTTTTTCTGAAAACAACTTTATTTAATGTCCTATTTGTGAGCAGATAGAGAATTTTTATGTCTCAATTCAAAGTTTCCAATATTCAGGATATAACTAGTCCTTCAGCTTGTGTGTCAATCACATTTTAGGAAATAGGTTTCTGATAGAATGGAATTGCAAACTCATCACTTATTTTTATTTCTATCTGGTGGGAAAAAAGGATTCCACACCTGGATTTGAATTCAGAGTAGTCTTTCTCCTTGACAGGTTGCCAAACAAGGCTAAAGCTCAACCTGATACATGATTTTCCCAAGGGCATGAGTGCAACATTTGAACTTGGTTTGCTGATTTCATCTTCGATATTGTTAACCATTAGGTCACTTCTTTCAATGATTTGAATACATCAACCATTTTCTTTTTTCAAGTAAAAAAAAAAAAACAGTAAACTCAAATAAAGATTCAAATGTTTCTTTTCACCTTTCATGTTACAAACTTGCCTAAACAGACTGCAAGAAATTACAAAAAAAACTACTCACTCCTTTAATGGTTTGCTATCATCCATTAACTTCTGACCATCAAAATAAAGCCAATATCTTCTCCAAACATAACGCCTGAAAAAAAAAAAAAAAATTCTATATTAAATAGAACAGATTTGCCTGATCATAAGAATCTAAGCTAAATCTCTCCATACAAATTTAATTTAATGTTTTGAAGGTCCCAGTAAGAATAAAGAAAACAAATCTCCTTACCAAATTCAGTAAAGCCATACAAATAATGTTCACCATTCATTATAATTGGGCTATAAAAAGAGACTGAACATTTTCAGTCTTAACTTAATTACCATATTACATCACATTACTATGTAGTAAATTGTACAGTCTGTTTACAAGCCAGATTAAAATAATGTTTATTAAGTCTGGTCAATAAGAATGAACAGCAAAAACTTATTTTCAGCTTTGTTTCCCCTTTCCTATTTGAACACTGCTAATTGTTTTCAAGTGATATGTTGACAGGTGGCCATAACAATAGAAACAATTTTGATTACATCCAAAATGAATTAAAAACAACATGAACATATTTAGCTTTGAAATACTGCCACAACTACTTTGTATGAACAACAAAGAGAAAAATTTCCTGTTTAATTCAAGCAAAGGAGAAAATGCATACAAATCAATTCTTTTATATCAGCATAAGTCTTAATGGCTATAGGACTTGTCTTTTTTAATAGACTTCTCTTTATACCTAGAATATCTTAAATAGCAATATGAACTTATATAAGAAAACCTAATATGAACAACATTATTTAAGCAAAAAGTGGTAATACATTATAGTGGCTGAAAAATGAAAAGAAAATTGCATTTTTTCATTTTTCACCCTTTTTGTCTTCCTGTTGCTCAGTAATGTAACATGAGGTGATCTGTTTTATTGTTTTTTTGGAAAGTTTTTCATACACATTGCATGATGAGAGAATATGAGATGGTTTGCATGTATATTCATGCAGTGGCAGCAAGCTGAAATCCAGGATTTTGACTGCAAAAGAAAGATTTGTGCATTTTTTTAAATTTTAGTTGGAATTTTTGCAACAGTAGAATGTGATTAGTTGATTGAATCTGAGAAACTCTTAATGGTTGTGATGAAGAAAAAAGAGTTCCAAAGGCAACCAATAAAAGATGCTTCCAGTGAGAGGTCTTTAAAAGCAAAAAAATTTAATATTTTCAAAATTTTCAATATCTTCATAATCTTTAAAATGGTGTAAAATCTGTTTGACATGAGGTAACATGCTGAAATGTTCAGTGTTCATCTTCTGTTAACAAATGGTGAAAATTTGGATGAAATCTGAAGATCTTCAGAATGGACCCTTGTTAAATCTGGCTGGAATGACCCAGTAGGGAATGTGGTTGACAATGGAATACAAGTGCAATTAAATTTATAAATTCTTAAAGCGATTATGGCGCTCCACAGCTTCCTATTCTTGCTAGGGCTAGATATTAACATCAACAAGAACTTATACTTGTGCTCAAAGATTAAACAAAAATATCTAATGTACTACAAGGAGATATTTGTTTTGTTATGATTTCTTACTATAATATAGCAAAAACTACATCATAGTCTGATTTTTGCTAGTACAATACCATTAATAATAAAGCACTTTGGTGAGTAATTTTTTTTATTTAATATAAATTAACAAAATTAAACAATGTATTTCCAAGGAAGATAACTATTAGTCTATTAACTGTTAATTACAAAGCCAATTCACTTAAATTTTTAATAAGAGGAATAAACGGAAAAATCTTTAAGCAGTTGGCAATCAATATGCCAGTGACACTACTTTAATAACAGTAATAATAATTAAGTGCATGGATAATTACCATTTACAAATAATTTAAATTCTATAAATAGGGAGTAATTTGACTGGAGTTCAGTGAATTTTTAAAAAAGTCATGTGTCCCAAAATTATTTCTACAATATTTACATTATTCGGACTATCATCCTCATCTTTGTCGACATATTTATTACAACGTTTCAGGCCGTTGTACACACTGGCTTTCTTTAGGTGGTTGGAATGTCAAACTGAACCCTTTATTTCACTCACTGGAGAATTAACAGGAGATAACTGATAACTGACATCCGTTAAACATGGCATGTGGAACTAGAACAGTCTACCCCAGTGAGTGAAATAAAGGGTTCAGTTCAACATTCCAACCACCTGAAGAAGGCCAGAGCATACAACAGCCAAAACGTTGTAATAAATATGGCAACAAAGATGAGGACAATAGTCCGAATAATGTAAATATTGTACATAATACCTTATCTCAGAAATAAATATAGACATTATTTCTGTATAAATATTTAAATCATTAAATGTTCCATAAAATTTAAATTTGTGTTTTGCAGAGAGAGAGAAGAAACTTATATTATTCAAATTTATCAGATTAAACATTGTCAGTTATGTAACAAAAATGTTTGCAAGCAATGTGGACTGGAAATAATGGTTATATGATGAGTGTAAACATATGTGACGCTCACCCAAGCTTTCTACTGACCAGCCATTGATCACCCCCACGTTGCATTCCAATCTTCAATCTCATTTGTGTTCATCAAAAATTGGGAAAGAGCACGCTGCATTCTCCCAAGTTAACATGATGAAAGAAAAAAAAACACCACTTTGAGAAATAATAACACAAAACTTGTTTACTATATCTGGGTGTTATATTCAGGGTTTCACCTGCTCGTCCGAGTGGGTAGGGAGGTAATATTGGGGGCAACTTCTGTTATATCAACTCCCTGCCCATCTAATCCCAATGTGATGGCTGGCAATACGAAAATGGAAACTTTGGAACTGTGACAAGGACACTCCCCCCCCCCCCCGATCCCAAGCATAACTTAATATAAACCAGCACCTGGATATAACCTATTTCCTGTTTCAATACCACTTGATCTTCCAAAATCCCTTCCCCACCCCTTTACTTCCCATTACCCTATGGTTAAAGTGGATGCCACTTAGAAGACCAAACTTCAAAAGGAACCATCCAGTGGTCTATCAAAAAGAAACACCCGAGATCAAGATATAAACCACCTCTTTCCATTCTATGTGGGTGTCCATAATATCACAAATAGATTTGAATCACTGTAAGTGGTTGGCTTTTGTAGCCTAATCAGAAAGGCAGGCTCTAAAGGATATAGTTTGAAGTCTCACTGGAGGTTTATTCCTTATTTTTAATCTACACTTTTTGCTAATGATTATGAAATACCAATCCAAGAACTGCAATAAAAAGCAGCAGAAATGAAATGAAATACCACTTAAAAATTTATGATTGGAGAAAACTCACTCCTAATTAATGCAAATATTATCATCAAAGATTCTAATACTGTTGCCATTAAAATAATTCCTTCATATAAGCACATACAAATGATTTTGTTTTACCTACCAACTGAGTATTTCTGTCCCATTTTGTCGTTTCTGTTTTAACTTCACATAACGTTTAATTGCGTGTTTAAGATCCAACACTGTTGCATCTTGCACCACCACAACTCCTGTAATTAAAAAAACAATAAACATTTAACAGTTAAAGACACATCAGAAAAATATTTTATAATGTACAAGGTGTACCAAAAGTAGGTATACAGTTGTTTAATTATTTATATACTGATATGACTATTTTTTATGCCACAATTCAGAACCAGCACTAACTTTGCCGAACTGTTTTTTCACCAAGATGGAGTACCTCCTCATCATGCTTTGGTAGTAACGGACTACCTTGACCAAACCTTCCCATTACATTGGATCAGACGATTGAATAGTCACCACGTTTACTTGACTTAATACCAATGGACTTCTTTCATAGTAAAAAATAAGGTTTATGAGAAAAATCCCCACACAGTAGTCAAATTAAAAGAATTCATCTTTGAAGCATTTATTGACATTAATGTGAATTGGAATTTGTGTCATACTGTGTGTGTCAGTGTTCTCAAGAGGTTTGAGGAGTTTTGCAATTTTGACATTTTGAACACTTATGAGATTAAACAGTGTTAAACAAATGTAATTGTAATAAAATGTAAAAAGAAACTGTAAAGTGTATACATACTTTTGGTTCACCCTGTATATTGTGTAAGTAATAATTTTTACAGACAAAAAATGTGTACGTATATATGTTTTTTCTAAGATGCCAGAACTGTTCCCAGTAATTTTCTCTTTATGTTCAACTCAAATTGAAGACAAAAAACAAACAAAAAAAAATGTATGTTTATGTTATATATGTTAAATTACAAACAACGTCATTCCTGTAAATGTCAATAAATAAAAGATTTAAGCCTGTCATTTCCTTTCAGATATATTTTAAGAATGATCCAGGATTGAATATAAAGCCACAAAGGCTTATCTTAAGCAAAGATTTTTGTAAACACTTTAATTAAATCAAAGTATTTTTACTGAAAACATGTGACTCCATGATATAATAAAGATAACTTGCTAGAGGCATAATACAAAAAAAAATCTACACCAAAACACTAAGTTGCTACATAAGGTAAATATTCAGCTAAACTGTTTAATATGAAAGTTAAGAATACAAAAAAAGCAAATGTAATGTTTATTAGGGTGACATGACCAAATATTTACAGTTTCTAATGCTATGATCATTTTAATTCATGCATATGTTTCATTTACATTTCTGTTGAAAAGTCTGAATTGCATCTTATAGTTTTTATTATCTTAAACTCTTCCCTTCTTTTCCTAAAATTCTTTCAAATTGTTCATGTTTATAAAAATTCAGTAGTTTTGAGCAATTGAACACATTATTATTATTTAAAAAACAAACTGTAAATATAAATGACTAATTCAACTAATTGGCTGTCCTGTTAAACTAATAAATTGTAATAAAAATGCAAAAACCAAAGGAATTACTCTCAAGTTAAAACAATAAAGAATTTACATTAAATTTTACATTTAACTGAAAATTGAAGCAGTGATACTTTTAAAAATACTATTATTCGAATAAAAAACAATTTGTTAAAAAAATCATGAATAAACATTTAAGTAAAAGCATCAAAGTGGTGACAGATTTTAAACTTTGAAGTGATGACAGTTTTATTAAAATGTAATAAAAATTCAAAGGAAATGTTAAATTGAGTAATTCTTCACATAAGCAGCATAAAATAATCTGTCAAAGTTCTACCTGACATTCTACATGAACTGTCATTTTATATCTTTAAATGTCTTTTCATCATAAATATCACTGTGGTCAATGGTGCCCTGGCCATTGGGTATTAGGTGGTATCAGGTGGGGTCTGAGAAAGTGTTTCTGGATTGTTGAGCAGAGACTCTGAAAGAGGTGATTGTGTGATATATTCAGCCTGGAAGCCACATTGTTTAAGATGGTTGGGCTGCTTATGTTGGAATCAAGGAAATCGACCGCGAGACATACTCTCATGATGTTGTTATTTATCAGCAGCATTTTGTGGATCCTGCAGTACAAGAACAGGCCCATATTTTCAGCATTTATTTGCTACATAGTCCACCATTAACCATTGTAATAATGTTTACTTGTAATAAACATATGTACCTTGGTCTTATTGATTTTATGCTGATCAGGGAATAGCAGTTTATTTTACGCCATCTAAGTGAAGATTTAATTGTTTTCAATGAGTTTAATGTGTCAATATTTGACTATATATATATATATATATATAGTAAATATTTGACTATATATATATATATATATATATATATATATATAGTAAATATTTGACTATATATATATATATATATATATATATATAAATATTTATATATATATATATATATATATATATATATATATATATATATAGTAAATATTTGACTATATATATATATATATATATAGTAAATATTTGACTATATATATATATATATATATATATATATATATATATAGTAAATATTTGACTATATATATATATATAGTAAATATTGACTATATATATATATAGTAAATATTTGACTATATATATAGTAAATATTTGACTATATATATATATATATATAAATAATCGACTCTCCCGTCGAGATTCGACATATGAGGGTCAAGCATATCAGTTTCCAGGAAACCGACAGCCCGACACCGGCACATGAGATTTGATTATAGTGGTGAAGGCCTCGTGCAGGACCATCCACACTTTTTGGAGGGACAAATACAGAGACATGGTGCACCGAATGCCACAAGGTCCCCAAACGACCCTCCGCAGGTTTTGAATTCAGAGTTGTCCTTCTCCTAGGCCAGTTGCCATCCAAGACTATAGAACCCAGTCTGTCCTGCTATTTTACCCATAGCTGGAGGGAGAGTAAGAGGATTCATACCTTTCCCAAGGGTATTAGCACGTAAGTGAATGTAATGGACTCGACTGGAATTCGAACTCGGCTCTATGATTCCTCAATCCAAGTCACTATCCATTACTCCACCGTGCCTCCTAGATATATATATATATATATATATATATATATATATATATATATATATATATATATATATATATATATATATGACAAATTGGAAAAAATTTTTTTTTGAAGTGTTTCATCCATTAGGACTTCATTGGACTGTGTTTGTTGATGTTGTGACTACACATGCTTATGAACAAGGGATACTGGTACTTTCAAAACTTTTAAATAATTTTTTTTTTTGCATTCTAGCCAACTGCATCTATGTTCTGTTTCTTTTCTTTCCTAATTTTTGTTATTAAATATCCCACACATTGTGATAACAGAAAATTTGCTGAGAATGGTGAAATGTTGTAAGAACCTGGATGTAAATTTACTGTGGCTGAACTAGCGATTAAAACACTTTCTAGACATTTTCATCTTAGTGAATTATTTTCTCTTTTAATTAGAGCAGCATTTTTATGTAAAAGTTGTGGTCAGTTTCATTACAGTGAACAACTAATGCATTTTGTGTGTTGTTTTTTAAAATGTCTCTTTTTTGTATTCATATAGTCTTTTATTTAAACTTCTTTAGTTTTCTCCAATATATTCTTTCTGGCAATCCTTGCAGTTGATAGAGTAAATTCTTCCTTCAGTTTTGACTTGTTGTTTTGTTTTATATTGATTAAGCCTTTTATTGTTTTAGATATAGTTATGACATATACTGAATATATTTAAAATATATTGGAGACATGACTTGCCTCAAATGGCAAGGTGTTGACATGACTTGCCACAAATGGAAAATTTCAGAAAGCACTGAGAAGGTTCCTAGGTGATGTACAGTGGTTGCAAGTGACTTCATCTCCCCTGGGTGGGGGTTCCCCAGCCCAGCTATATAGCCTATGTTGACACCAATTTTTTGTTAGAGATGTCATAGCAACACCTTCATTTGTGGATTCCTTACCACAAAGCTCAATAAAAAATATTCAAAATGTCAAAAAGTCTTGCATTTATATATTTTTTATAAGTAGCAATTGTTTTTTGTTGTTCACATACAAAAAGTACAAAACATTATTTTTACATGAAATCTTAATTTCATCACTTAAAAATCTGTGTGAGCATTACATAACTAGTATTATTATCTGTATGTACAAAAAATTTATGAAATTTTATATAAAACTACTTTCAGGGTATATGTTATTTATATATAAATATATGTAGGGTATATGTATAAGCTGTGTTATGAAATCTAAAGGGATATTGTGTTTATGCTTAGGTTCCATTCCCAAACTGACCCATTCTATGCTATATACAAATGAAATAGCCTGTATTCCAAAATCCAATAAAAATCTGAAAACTGAAGCACTTCCGGTTCCAAGAATTTCGGATAAAGGATTCTCAACCTGTATTGCAAATATTTCAACAGTTGTATATTGGCATACTGGATTGCCACTTGCTTGCTTACCTGAAGGTCAGAGTTTCAAATCAAGACAACATTTACTTAATTTTATACAAGTTGGTGCTGAATATTTCTTATCTCAATCTACTTTCCAAAATTTGGGCATCATTTTGCTACTGTAGCTAGAATTAGTTTTCTTTTCTTTTGTAAAGTGCCAATTTGCAGGATTCTTATAGTACTTATTTTTGAAATTGTTCAAGATCACTGACTGAACTATGTCAACAGAAAGTGCGGAATTTTCCAGTGTTGAATTATGGGCAGTCATAAAGTTTGTGTTCCTATAGAAAAAACTACAAAGGAAACACATGAGCATATAATGCAAAATTCACATAATGAGTACCCATCTTACTCTAAAAGCAGTGTTTATCAACCTTTGCTTTGACCCATGAACCACTTTTACTCTTATTTTTTTTTTTGGTAGACCCTCATAGCCATCCAATGAAATGAAAAAAAAAGAAAAAAAAAGTTTATTTTATTTTTTACTAGTAGATAACGTTAGGAATTGTATTATAGAAATAGTAAATGTATATGATTTATTTTGAAGTAAAACTAATTTAATGAAAATAAACTTGTATTTAACAAGTAAATTCTAGGGAACATTTTTGTACACTAGTACATATATAGGTCCTCAGAGTGGATGGTTTTACCAGAAATTGACACTGCTGCTGAAGAGGTTAATACTGTTAATCCTCCCTTCATATATAATTCTTATATAATTTATATATTAAATTAATTATTAATATTTTATATTAATATTTTATTTTTAAAATTTTATTTTTTTTAATATTTATATTAATATTTTATTTTTCCATGGCACTGTGTCATTCTCTTTCTGGTTAGAATGAGATCTTTTCAGCACCACCTCATATATTTTGTCTGCTTTAGTGTGACAAAACCTGCCAACCAAAGTTATATTGGCTTTTATAAAAGAACTTTTACTAAGTTTACATAGTTTGGCACATGGTCAAAATTTTGAAATACTTAAAACTGAACTTTTGTTTGAATAATAATTCATTTTTATTATATTTATGGAATAAGCCACAACCTGAATTTGCACTGGCCAACATCAAAAGCATAATTCAATAAATCTGATACCTAAGTTAAAACTAATAAAACAAGACAAGCTTCAAGTAATTTCTTATAAAAAATGAACATTTGCAGCAACTGTAATGATAAGTGTATATATGTGTGTTTATTTATGTTTATCAATTCAATTTGCTTATTGTCTTTTTAATTTGCTTAGGAAAAGATATAGTTCATGTATTATTCCCAAATAGAAAGTCAGAAATATAAACTGACTAGAATATTTTTCATTTCAGTCAATAATAATGTTATTCTAATATTAACACCCGCTAATAAAGTTTATGCAATAAATTGTTATATGCTAATAGGACCTGTGAAAATTTCAAGATTTTCCTATTTGAATTTTCCAATGTATGAAAATATTTAGTGAACAAATAGACTTACTGTGAGTTCCACAACTACAAAATAACTGTGGAAATACCTCTATTGCATTGTTAAATATTTGAGCTTAATAACTTTAACCAAATATTGTAACGACAATGATAAGTATAAATCCAGGCCATAATTTAAAGAAGTAAGAAGGTACAAATGAAAAGATTTAAAATTGACAAGTTTTTCAATTTCACTGAAGCAGATGTTAAACAGTGTTATCACCTCCTCTATCTTCTCTTTCTTTAACTGAAACCAAACAGCATTGCCAATATGTCTTTTCCATTTTTCTCGTGATCAAAATTATTTATGAGGTATTAGCAGAGTGTGATGTACATGCTAAAGAAAAAACAGAATTATAATAGGATTTATTTCATCTTTAACTTGCTTCAAAGAATTAACCCACATTATTAAAACACTAGACTTGTTGTCTTATTCTGAGGAAGCATTTCTCTTATGTTTCACATTTATAATAAAAGAATAAAATGGGAAAATAAATGACATACGCATTACTTGGCCATCAGCTCGACAGACATTAATAGACATAGCTTGTCCATATTCCAATGCTAATTGTGAAGTAACCTCTTCTAAGGTCACTTCTTGTGGCAAGTCTTCAAGTAATGGATCAGTCTACAAAAAAAAAAAAAAAAATTTTTTTTTTAAACACAAGCATGATTTTAAAGCAAAGCAGAAAAGTTCCCAAAAGCAATAATCTGATATCACTGAAATACTGATTTTGGGAAGTGGTTAAACTGACAACTAACACCCACCCCTTATAAAACTATTTGATAGAGGTATTCGAAGAGATTCATTAACATGTTGTCAAGTAAATTTCAAATTTGCTAATTATCCATATCATATGTAAATAATAAATAGAAAAAATATTAAGAAAATAAGATTGTGTGTATGTATATATATATATATATATATATATATATATATATATATATATATATATACACACACATACATACATATAAGATTATCGCACAAAATTTCATAACTGAATCTGTCAGATCCTCATATATCGAAACCGACGGGAGAGTCCATTATTATATATATATATATATATATATATATATATATATATATGGGAAAATGATATATAAATTTTTTATATATCAAGAACAATTTTGGGGGAAAGAAGTATGACAAAGTGGGAAAATTTTAGTGTTATGCATTTTGTCTTTTAGGAATTCATTGGACTAAGTTTGTTTAAGTTGATGTGACTACACATGTGCACAAATGAAAGGGACACTGAATATGTTAAATAATATTTTTTTTTGTTTTAATGTGTTTTCAGTATATAGATGAAACCCCAAGTTGGCACAGCAAACGGTTGCCAAATCTTTTGCTATGTGCAGACTTGGGGTTTTAAAATCATTCAGTGTGCCAACAACATACATATTTTTAATCAAGTCAAAGTCAACATACCTGTTCTACAATATATTTTATATACTTTAGTATATATTAAAATTGAAACAGCTTAATATCTTCTTTGTGTTGTAGTAGTTATTAGTTCAGACTTTGCGATGTCATTTGCAGCTGTGTGCCATTGGAAATTGTTTGTCATACCACAGGTTGCCAACCCCTGATCTAGCTGACTTCATTTAAATTCTTTTTGCTTTTGTTTCCATCACTTTTATTAAATATCCCACATTGAAGAAAAAGAATCAAAATAAAATTGATTATATACCCAAAACACATGAAAAGAAAGAAAAGTTATTTTAAATTTATAATTTTCAGTCTCTCTTTTGTTCATGTGCATGTATAGTCACATCAGCATAAACCAACTTAGTCCTCACACATACATACATACATACATACATACATACATATATATATATATATATTGAGAAAATGATATATGACAAAGTGAAAAATATTTTGTGGGGTGCATTCCATTCTTTAGAATTTCATTAGACAAAATTGATGTTTATCTTAATGTAATTACACATGCATATGAAGGAGAGGGGACACTGAAATTAGAAAAGAAAAAGAAAAAATTAAATTTAAAAGTTTAAATTTTCAACGTGCCCTCTCCTTTGTGTACATGTACAGTTATATATGATAAAAATATAGTTTGAAGGTATGCTATATTTTATGGGTAAAAGTGCTCAGTATATGGGATAGAGCATGTGTAAATATAAAAGTCAACACACACACACACACACACACACATACAGAGGGTGTGACGGGTAAATTGTCGCCATTTCATATTTTTAATTTCACACGTGCTTTTATTTGTTTTTGTCGACTGCACAGTATAGTAGGGTCAAGTGAGCACTGTAAGAAAAAGACCACCATGATGCCATTCACTCCACCAGAAATTTGGAAACAGCATGCTGTACTACTTGGCATTCATGCCAAAATCCCCAATATGAACATTTCTTTTGGATGTCAATCTGAGGGCAGTGTAGAGGATTTGGAAAGGACTGGATGAGTCTAATGGTGATTACAAAGGTGTTTGGATAGATCACTAGTGATGGCAATGTTATGCCTCCATTCATCTTCCCACAGGGCCTCAGACTCAGCATGGAGACCTATATCAAATGCTTTGAGGTGGTAGTGCTGTTCTGGCTCAAGAGGGTGACTGCTGGAAGACTCTATGTCTAACAAGACTCTGCACCATGCCACACAAGCAGGAGAACCCAGTCATAGCTGTCAAACAATTATTGCAACCACATCACCCCTTACGTCTGGCCACCTAAGTCCCCAGACTGCATCTCCTTTGATTATTATGTGTAGAGCCCAGTTGAATGAGAGACCAACAAAATTCCTTGTAATACCAAAGATGAACTGAAGGCAAGGATTATGACCGCATTCATCAACTTAAACAAGGTGATCATCCAGAAGAGATGCAGGAGATTCCAAAGTGGCGATTTTATTGAATAAATTTACTCTTTAGTATTTAAAGAAATTTTTGTGTAATTTTGGTAAATATATCTGTTAAAATGAGATGTCAGTGTTATTTTCATTTTTGTGTAGATGACGATTTATCCATTGCACCCTGTATATACTTCAAATGTTGTGTGTGTGTGTGTACGCACATGCATGTAAAAATATATATATATATATATATATATATATATATATATATACACACACACACACACACACACACACACATTTTAAGATTAAGTCAGATATTTAATTTCAGAGATATAAAATATAAAATAAAACTGTGAAGACTAAACATGCATGGCCCTACTTCAATCTGAAAATTTCTCTTAAAAAATTACCTAGCAGTGAAATATATGCTTTCAAAAATAGTAATAACAATTAAAAACTGTGTAGATAAAATTATGTAAAAGTCACTGTATGAGTGCTACTGGTACCATATAACCCAGTAGTACCTGGCACATGGTTGGATTATTGGCGACTAAACTGGTTCCATCACCTAGGCTTTTCTGATGAGGATAGTTGAGAAAAAGAAAGAGAAAAATAATTGTCACTTACACTTATGAGATCTGAAATAATTTGTTCTGCTTTGGCCATAGCATCATGGTGTGTGTGTTCTTCAGGAGGAGCAGGAGATAATGATTCCTGGTCTGAAGAACTTTCAATGCCATCATAAATTGATGCCATTTCTAAAATGCTTCAAAGAGTAACTGAAACTAAAGAAAATCTCAATAACAAACCTTTCACAAAAATATAGAGATCATTATGTCACCAGGCTTAGTATATAGTTTCTGCTCTAAATTTGAAAAAGTAAAAACATTTTGGTAAAGATGATCTTGAAAGTGCTAGAGATAGACTTGGATTCTTTTATGTAAAAGGTTTTAAGTAAAAAATTGATAACCACTGATCATCATTCTGAACCTCTGATGGTCACTCCTGGTGGTGGTGGTGGTGGTGGAGGGGCTTGCATAGTCCAATGTCTCTGAGAGTGATTCTGTCAGGAGTTCTAAACTCCTAGCAGGGTCACCCTTAGAAGCAAGGTCAAAGGTGAGGTTCCAGACTAAGCAAGGCCAACCCCAAGACCCCAACTGTGGAACAAGCAGATGACAATTACAGATCTCAATGGTTGAGCCAGTACATGAAGAGGGCTACACATGATGGACATGCTACAGAAAGTACCACTCAAAATTATAACAAGGTCAGTGGCAATCCATTGCAGTTCCATAACTGGATTCTGCATGTCACATTCCATATGTGCCACCGAAGGTCATAAAATCAAGTGTGTGGGTCACCACTTCCTGGCAAGTTGAGGTTCACCTGAAACAAATTCATGCCATCAGTAATTTCTCCTACTCTGATTTTATTTCACCTGCAACCAACTCTCACAAAGCCAAACAGCAATAGGGAATAGATGACGAGAACAGGTTTTGGTGAAACTGAAAGCATCTGTCTAGTCCTGAATCTGCATATTGGCGATGAATTTAGTCATCAAAACCATCATCATAAATGAAGCTGTCAGTAAAGAAGAAATAAAATTCTTGGATATCAGATAAAGCTGCCAACATCTAATCTAAAACTCTTTCTTTACTTCTGATTTCATACTGCCTGTTTAATGAAGCAGTCAAAGAGTTCATCAACCTGGAGAATGATGAGTTAAAAGAAATCTTGTAAATGCCATAGTGAAAATTTGACATCTAAAGTTTATCTTCTCCCACATCTAATACCTTGATTTAATTATCATAAATACTTCAATAGTTTACTAAATCTCAATGTAGTGTGCTGGTCTTGTAAAAAAGCATACTCAATGAAACAAATCACATGAGTCATAGATGATTTCTAATAAATATCTACATAAAAAAATCAGATGTGTGAGTTAGAAATCTGCTAGATATAGTCTTTTAATTCTCAATGCAATCATTTATCTTGAAATATATTCATTTGATTTCATATGAGCCCATATCCTGGCAGCTGTTTAAACTGAATACCTTCAAAAGATTTTTAAAAAAAAGAAAAAAAATGGTCATACATGATGAAAAAATGTTCCAAACTTAATAAAAACAAAGTTCTATTATCACAATCTCTGTTATTATCAAGAGGTAAGACCAAAGGATTTTTTGATTATTAAATTATGCTTTTTAATTCTTTTTAGACCTTTTAAATTTTGGTTAAAAATTTTGCATTACTTGTATCAACAGGCAACAATAAATTAGTATGGGAAATTTGAGCATCTTTTTGTGAAGAAAAAGACATTGAATTGGAAATTCTTACAAAAAAAAAATCAAATAATTGCTGGATTTTAATGAAAGTTTCAGGATATTCACAAATGAATGAAAGTATTTTTTTAAAATAAATAAGATTAGAAAATGTAATACAAGCTAAAATTTTAAACAAAACTAAAATTGTATATCATCACCTTAAATTAAAAGAAAATTGTTCACCATTACTCTAAAGAAAGGCTGAAGTATACATATTATTTTTAAGCAAAGTGGATTATGTTAGGATTTTTTTAATATAATGTATTTCAACTGAATAACTCCAAAAAAACAACCAGATTGTGCATATTTTAAAATACTCTTCTTGATATCAGTTTTTTTTCCAGATTTTACTTTGCTGTATTTTAAACCAAATTTATTGGAATGATTTCTTTTTTGAAATCTCTAAAATTGGCCATATTGACAACACAATTCTCTTCATTAAAAAAATCTTTCAAAAAATAAAATATACTTATCTCTTTATTTGAAGAAGATTAACCGATTTAAAGTTTAATTAATCTGAATTAAAACAAATATTACTTTTAGTTTAAAATATCACAGAAAAGCATTTCTTAATACAGATTGTTTTTTTTAGCTATGGTGGATATATCTGTAAAAAAAAAATAATTGAAAAAATATGAAGTGAACACCTTTTTTTATATCATTTTTAAATACTCTGTAATCTTAAAAGTTTAGGTAAATATTCTCCATAAATACCTTAGCTTTAAATTTACTATAGTTATTGCTCTAATTTTCTGATAATATTGTATGTGAACATCTATCTACAAAAATTGGCATGTTTATACATACAAAAAAATTCTTTTTAAAATACTGGGGATCTATAAATTGTAATAAGCTTTTAGAGATTTATGGTTAGTACTCGCTTCTACATAGTTACACCATTAATGCACAATTTTAAAAGAATTAATTAAATCTTTAAAAATTTTTCTATAAAAGAAAACATTTCTAAAATAATTTCATTAATTTGCGAATAAGTCCTGAAAATTTAATCAAAATCCGACAATTATTTAATTTTTGCAAGAATTTCCAAATCAATGTTTTTTTTTTGGGGGGGGGGTTCCATCAGAAAAAAGACGCTAAAATTCGCTATGCTGACACAAGAAAAAAGGATTAAATATAATTAAATAATAAAAAGTACTTTGGTCTTTCCTCTTCTTAATAATAACAAAGATTTTGACTGTAAAATTTTTTTATCAACTTTTTTTCATCATGGTATGCTCTTTTTTCAATAAGTTAAACTTTTAAAACTAAACAAAATAGTCACGTCACAATAAACACATCAGGTTGTTTTTCAGAGTTATATAACGTAAAGAATATATATAAAAACTTAACACAATTCACTTAATTTTAAAAATAATAAATATACAAACCTCAATACTTCGGCCTTTTTAAATTGGGGAACGATTTTTTTAATTATATCTGTTACAAGTTTAGTTTTTTGTTTACAATTTTAGTCCAGGTTACATTTTCTAATCTTAACTTATTTCTTTGGAAATTAGTGGTTAGATTATCTTGATTGTGTGACTATAGTGCACAATAAATGATTTATTTCCTTCACATTTTTTGTCGAAAAATTAAATTTACATTACGCCGCATGCGTTTGCCTCGACAACAACGAAGAATTTCAGCAAATACCTTATTCAGAACATTAAAGAAAACTTTTTCTTGATGCTTAAGTAAATTAGTTTCCACTGAAATCATAACATTATATAATGGCAACTTTTAAAAATTATTCTTTTGCGAATAATAAAAAAAAAATATTAGTCCACCTTTTTAATTTGGCTATCTGGACGCCATTTTGAATGTGGGTATATATAAAATTATAAACATTATTACTCCTAAAAACCGATCAGAATCACTGACTGATATACTTGTTTTCGTTTGCAAAACAAAACAAAATACACCCTAAATAAATTTATATAAAGTTATTGATTGTTAAGTTTAAAAATCAATTAAATGAGTATCATTTTTCGTTTACAATGGATATTTATTAAATAAATATTTCGCGATCCGCATTCCACTTCAGAAATAAATTTTGTATTTTGTACAAATCCATATAATTCTGTTCGTCAATACAGAAATCGAAATGTGATAAACATGTTGGTCTTCTGTCCAATTTGTGCTAATGTTTTAGTAGTCGAGGAAGGACCAAATTGCTATCGATTTGGTTGTCACACATGTCCTTATATAAAGAACATACAAAGAAAGGTTTGTACGAATATAATTTTCTTTTTTTCGTTTCTTCTACCTTCATTTTTTATTTCAGTTGAAACAACACTGGGACTAGTACTTAAATAAAATGTAAACTTTTTTTTTCGGTATCTTTTATTTTAGCGTCCGAAACGTTTTTGGCATATTTCGTTCAAGTTCAGTTACCTAGAGTGGTTCACTAATAAAAAAAAAAAATAAACAATATGGGAAATTTTATTATTTTTGTAGATTAACTTTCCTTAGGTCGCGAAACTTGTCAGACTCAAAGAATCTTAATATTGATTTTTTTTTTTTTTTTTTTTTTTTTTTTTAGGCGAGGGTGTCTTGGTTTTAGAAGTTATTTCTAAATGATAATTTGCATTTTTTTAATTTTCTGAAATTTTTAAAATTTAAAAAACCTTTTTTCTGTATGGGATTTTTTCGAGAGCACATGCACAAATAATGAAGAATAAACAAAAAATGTATACATAAATGTTAATGTATGTATTTTCATTTATTTTAATTAACCTCCAATGTTTGTGAGCAAGTGCTTCCCAAAAAATCCCAAAGAAAAAAAAAATCACCTTTTAGTTAAGCAAATATCACATTCTTCTTTTGGATAGGACTTACAGCCACATCATGTTGAAACATTGGTTCCCGTAAGATCACTAAAGTTAAGCAACGTCGAACCTGGTCAGTACTTAGACGGGTGATCGCTTGGGAATCAATGAATACCAGGTGCTGTAAGCTTGGATGTGTGCTGGTGGAATTGTTAATCAGAGAGCCAAGTTCCAATTCCCACTGTGTTTGTTATATTCACTTGGGAAAAGCATGAATCCACCTCTTCTCCCTCCAGCTAAAGGTTACCGTTAATTTAATTAGTAAGATTTTTGTATCATTAAAAAACATTATCTCAAAAAAAATTCTTAAAATCTAAAAATCTTTTCTGCCATTTAAATAACCTGCAAAGGGTTGATAAACCATAGAAAACAAATCAATCTTTTGGATAGGAAATGTTTAGCCTAAAATGAAAGTTAATGCCCAAAATTCAACATAATTTATTTAATCAATAACAATTACCTGATATTTGTAGGCTGGGGGAATCATGGATATGGCACTACTTAAATAGACTGGTCAATATTTATTCTAAATTGGTTTACCATGGCCTGGACATACCACATTTTCAAATTCTAAAATCTTGCATCTATCTTATTAGTCACAGAAATTTTGTTAGAATTATATTTCATTTTGTCTTTATTCAAAAAAAAAGTGATCAGAATATGAGGTGAAGTAATCAAGGGAAAATAATTTGGTTGGAAACATTTCAGCCAGTAAAACAGAAGATGACAAAAGCCATGTTATTACCAAGTTCATTCATAAAAGTAAACTGATACATACTTCCAGAAGATAAAAGTTGTGAGTGATGTAGTAAAGGATTTGTTTTCCCGGGAAGGAATGGGAGAAAAGAGATCATCTCTCTTATCCCAAATATTAAAAAAGGTAGATACAATAACAAACAAGACTTGAAAATACTATGTGAAATTTAAAAATAACAAACATTTATTACATAGACATTAGAATAGTAAAACAAAATATAATTTTTCAAAAAAGCTTGCACAAAAGATTTTTTGTAACAGCAGATAACAGAACAAAATATATAAATTACAGGCTCTTAAAAAATATACAAAGTTGAAAATACTCTTTAAAAAAAAAAGTAAAAGTGTATCTACCTAATAATAGAAAGACAAAAATTCAGAAGGCCACTTTAGTAAAACTCACATCTGTCACTGGGACTTTAAACAATATTTTTCATCTTCAGAACACTGTTTTATTTAAAAGTTTCACTTCCTTTATTCATTTTCCATTAATGTGGGAGTGCTGGTTATGTGTTTAGTTGAAAAGCATGTGAGTCTGGTATATTTATCCCACAACAAAAATGGCATTTTAAGAATGGGAGTCTAGTTAATAAATGAAAAAATAACGACAAAACTTTATTTATATATATATATATATATATATATATATAAATAAAAACAAATGATTAGCACATATTAACAAAACAAAGGTCTAGACAATAAAATATTGTTATGTGTTACAAATCGATGAACATGAATGAAAAAATATTTAAACTAGGGAATTGTGTGTGTGAAGTTGTGTAGAAGTAAGTGTAACAAGTGTGTGTGAGAGAGAGAGTTCAAATGTCAACAGAGGACCAAAGGAAGCAAATGCACCTCAGCATGTGACCTACATCTTACCGTCCCTGGGTGGAATAAAAAAAAAAAAAGATAATGACAGAGAATGTCACTATCTGTTCATGGGCTTAGAGAGCATCCCCTAGCAAGGGTTTTTTTTTTTTTTTTTTTTATAGGAAAGTAAGTGGGTTAACTCCACACGTTGTCCACAACAACAGGGATTAGGCCTTTCTGGTAGGAATTTCTATAACTTCTGGTTGAAAACCAGGTGACAGCCAAAAGTAGCTTTTCCTTCTGATATCTTTTTTTTCTGACTTCAGCATGAAATTTTCAGGTCTCCGTTTCATGTAACTGCTTGAACTCTCCATCATATCAAATATTGACTTACACTTGAAAAAGTATTTAAGTGTAAACATATATAAAAAAATACGAGGAAATAAATATTTGTAACCCCTTGTAACCTGTGGAGTGAAGATGGAAATAAACATCAAGACTGTCAATCAAAAAATGGTTTTGTGCATCCTTCTGGTTAATAAATTAACCCTTCGAAAATAAATATTTAACATTTTTCAACCAATGGATAGTGTTCTTCCTGACAATAAAAAAACATGCTTTGTGATCACTTTAAAGAGTATATAAGCAAATTTACCAGGCCAGACAGGCTAGTAAGGGATCACAACAATTCATGACATGCATCAGCTTCAAAGAGATTCCTTTACTCATTCACCCATCTTCCTCACCAAGCTACATGACACTTACACTTTCCTCCTCACTTTCTCAGTTGCCTTTTTTTTCTTTTTTTTCCCCCACACATACACATGTGAAGAAATTATATTTCTTCTTTCCTTACAAACAAGGAACTTTAATACTCATAAACACTGAGAAAAATTAGTTGTAAAATCACAAAAATAAAAATTTAGTTTATTATTTTATATTTAAAAACCTTTCTCACCTTTTTCTTTATTGTGGGTTGATTCAAATCCACAACAAAGTTTACTAAAATATTTTAAAAAAACTTGTGTAGTACTGCGTTCTTTTTTTTTTATGTTCACTCAATACAAGGTCCAAGACCCACTCAATGTAGAGTTATTAAATGAATTTGTTGTATAGATAGAGGAAATTAGTGCAGATTATGAGAATATGTAGGATAGAAAACAGTTGACCATAAACTTAAACTTTATATGGCATGACATGGCAGGTCTTAGTTGTAATGGTCTGAACTGATGGAACTAGGGAATGTAGCTCGTCAGAATATTTTCCATGATTGCAATGAAGTGACTTGCAGTGTTGCATCTGTGGAAAATACTTCATTGCCCATAAGGCTGTTTAAATACTTTTGAACTCTGTCAAGGATGGAAAGAGTGGATTGGGAAGCAATACTCTATTTTTGGTCTGATCTGACTCTTGTAAAGATAGCTCATGGCAAGTGGAGTTGTGTACTTTTTGGAGTGGTGTAAGGAGCAAACGATGAAAATTTGGATGAAATCTGGGTGCCTTCAGGATGGATCCTTATTGAATCCAACTGAAATGATCCAATTTCTTTTGCAGTCACTATTTGTGATATTTACTTTTCAGTCATTTATCACTAAAATGTCAAATCTTTTCTATTTTTGATTTAAGGTGACAAACAGAAAATATCCCAAATTAAAAGAAGTTGATGATGTACTTGGAGGAGCCTCAGCCTGGGAAAATGTGGATTCAACTGAAGGTCTTTTTTTCTTCTTTTTTTCTTTTCTATTTTACATGCCTTTTTTCTTTTCTTTATTTTTAACGTTTCATAAACTCTAATCTTGCCTGTCAGTAAAGCCACTAAAATTAACAAAAATTTACAAAGTTAACTGTAGGTTATGAAATGCTATCTGCTACATACCATCTAGTTAATTCACTTTAACATTTAAATAAGTCTTCATGAAGATATAAAAGACAAAGGTTAAAAATCACACTGATAATATTTTAATAAGAGTAAAACAATCGGGTTTTTCCAGGATTTTTGTGTAGGTATATGTGTGTTTTTTTATTACTAATACTACTACTTATGGTCAAATCACACTGAAAACACCCTTGATTAAATGAGAACCAGATGTTAAGCAGTGTCAGACCTGTTCAGTACTTAGAAGGTGGACTGCTTGGGAACACCAGATAGATAGGTGTATGTATGTATGTATGTGTGTGTGTAATATGTATGTATGTAAAAATCCATGGGTAAGTAATCCAAGTGAATCCTAATGATATAAAATATTAAAACGGATCCTCAAAAGAGAGCTCAATATATTTATTATAGAGCATAGAAATGAATTACATAAAATTAAACTCAATTTTACCCCATTTATATGGCCATTTCACTCCTAGAGAAATTCCTTAGAGCTTGTCAAGATACATACATACATACATATATATATATATATATATATATATATATATATATATATATATATATATATGAGCCATTTGTGCCTGTTGGATTTTAAATCATCCCACTCAGAGTAGACCATTGCAAAAGCAATGTTAGCCCAATGTGGTATACAAGCTAAGAGCAAAAAAAAAATCTGCTCTGAGTGGATTGATTTAAAATCCAACAGACGCCAATGACTCTAATATGAAAAAAAACTAAAAAAATAAACACTGTCTAGTCTCTGGTTGTTGGATGAGGTAATTTAATTTCTTGTCCCCTTATCTTCACCACAGTTTTGCCTTTCATTCCATCCTGAAGAAGCCAAACCTAATACGTTGACAAAATGTGTCATTAAGAAAGCTTTTCCACTTTGTTCCATACATAATGTACAAAATTATATTTATAGATTTCAATTTAACGAAAATATGTTGGTTTAAAATACAACATTTGTTTATTACTTGTAAATATAATAAATAAGTCACATGTAGAAATAAAATGTGCACATTCAGTTAAAATTTTATTTTATTTTTTGCTTTGTAGAAACCTGTCCAAAGTGTGAACACAACAGAGCATATTTTATGCAAATGCAAACTCGATCAGCTGATGAGCCAATGACTACTTTTTACAAATGCTGTAATGTTCAGTGTGGACACAGATGGAAAGATTAAACACAATTTACCTTCTGTGGAAATAAAAATAAAATTGCTGTAACTTATATGTAATTAAAATAATTTTTTGTGCTTTTAATTCATATTTGGTTCTATTTTATCAACTACAATTAACATAATTCATGTACTATCTACACCCTAACATTGGGCTTTGAAATTCTAAGGGAAAAAAAAGTATCTCTCTTAACTGACACTGGCTGTTGAATATGTAGCAGCTAAATTGAAACTAAATTTAACATCAACTTTTTATAATGTTTGTACTAACTAAAAATAATCCTTGGACCAACACTGTTTCTGATGTTCATCAATGACCTTACCAATGTCATCAGTTCTCAACTAGGTATTCATGCAAATAACTATTTACTAATGTCTTAGTAGCAAGTCTGATACATTCAACAAAGTAAAACTGGCAACTGCTCTTGAAAAGGACCTCCAGCCAATGGTTAACTGGAGGAAAAAATGTCTTGTAAATTTTAGCACTACCAAAACAAAACC